CGAGATGGAGGATCGTTATTTTAAATGAACAGTATTTGAAAAGGAGAGAGAGAGAGAGAGAAAGAGAGAATCTTATCTCCAATAGCCCGGAAACGGAAGGTCTCAGGTTGGAACGTAAAACGAAAGAGGGGAAAAAAGTGTAAATTCCAATATCAACCATCGAGAAGTGGAGGAATAGCGCGTCGTCGATCCAGTTCCGCGACGTTGAACGATTTTTCTTAATCGTGTCCAAGAGAAAACTCTTGGAAGTGTGTTAGATCTCTAGAAGAAGTAGATATATACGCGTGAATATTTCTCTCTCTCTTTCTCTCTCTTATTCCAACCTGCATTGCTCTGTTTCTGTACTCTGAAAGTATTTCGACACGCTTGCAACCATGACAAATCGACGAACGCGATTGCATCGAAACAACCTTATTACCAACCGATGTAAATGAGATTTTGCCAAGAAATCAATGATTTTCACGCGTCTCCATTCGTTTGTTCGTTTGTATTCGTTGATAAATCGATTAGTCGACGAGACTTTCGATTTCTTTTATAGTTTTCATCTCGATCGAAATTGCGAAATAAATTGATTAATCTAATCCAAGGAAAATTTATTCTCGAGAACGGAGAATCGATCGAATTTGGGTTATTCGTTTACTCGAATATTTTCAGAATTTATATTTACATTATATCAATGTCTCTCAAATTTTCTTTTCGAGTTACGATTCCTTTTCGTATATTCATCTTGTTGTTCTCGAATAAACTGTGAAGAAAATTTAGTTGAGTTGCAATCCTCTTTCGTGAATAAAAGTAAAAAAAAAATTTAATACTGTCTTCGAGTTGTTGTAACAAAAAAGAATCATCTGATATTCTTGTATGTAAAATATGTAAAATAAATAATTGTTCAGAGTCATTAAATTAAAATGAAGTTACTTTTCAATTATCTTAAGCAAAAATTAGATGATGAATAATGAAGAGAATTTTTTAATTTCTGCAATTCTTCGTTCAATTTAATTATCCATCGATTTAAAGTTTCTCCATCGTTCGTAGATTTTATCACGAAGATTGTACATGGTTCTTCGCAATATTTACAACACGGTATGCGATATTTAACAAGGAGCACGATGTCGTGTTTGGTTCATTCAATATTTAACTCTACACGCTACAGGTAGTTCGAGCTTATCGACCTGAACGACTAGTTTATGAATTCTGATATTCTGCCCAGTAATAATTTCGATGCAATTTTCGCCTCGAACTGTGTAAAAAATTTGATCAGAATCGTTGTAAAACAATTAATACCTTTAAAAAAATTCCTTTAAATTCACAATACAATACCACGAAACCTTTAAAAATCTCACCAAATTCAACCAACTCTTCTAAATTCCAAAAATACTCCACAAAACTTCATCACCCACGCACATTCGGATGAAAATTTCCATAGCTTGACTACTGTGCGAATACTTACCCCTTTCGAGGGACACACCTCGAGATCGTCCTCCACTTCCGGTGAATCGCCGCCAAGAATCGATCTTCTCTCCAAGAAAAACGGGAATTCGTCCTCCTCCGAACTTGGAACAGATAAAAGAAAGAAAGAGAAACCGAATTCAAGGAACAACGAGTCTCGATGATCCACGATTATTATTATTACTCTCGTGCGTTCCCTTCTTCTTAAACCGGAAGTTTATAGAGCGCGGCGCGGCGAGAGAAACGAGCGAGGCCCATCGAGATTCGTCGAGTGGGTCCGTGTGACTGGCTCGTGCTGGCTCGAGCACGGGCCCGCCGCGATACGATTTCCCCCCTTTCGAGCTCTGAGGAAAGAGGAAGAAAGTAGGCTTCTCCGTGTGTGACCCTTCTCGTTCTTCTTCGTGGATCGACTTCGCTATTACCTGCCGACGAAAAACGAGGAACCTCGTGCCGGTTCCAAGCTTTCCAAGCTGTGCCGTGCGTGGAAAGTTGTGACACGAGGTGTTGGAAGGGAATGGAAGGAATCGTCCCGCCGATCTTGACGCTTCGCTGGACGAATGATCGTGACGAGGGTCGTGACTGGCCTTCTCGAGGGCGATTGTCCGTTCAACTTCTGATGGACGACGACGGTGGTGCGAATTGGTGTGATTTATCGTACCTGGATTTATCTCTATTTACTCGTTAGATTTATATATATGTATGTATTTCGTGTTAGGTGTGATAGATTTATCGATACATAAGGGGATGTGAGATTTGGAGGGTTCGATACTAGAGTAAACGTAAAAGTTTTATATATATATATATAATATCGATTTAGTTTGTAGTTGGATGAATAGAGTGCAATGATGTAACAGAGACAGGAGAGTTTCGCTCTGTTTCCATTTTATTTCATCTAACGTAGGAAGTTCAATGGCTTGTAATTTAATAAAGATTTGAATGAGATTATTGAAGGTGTTCCAATATGTATTCACACCCTGTGTAAATATGTTAATAAATAATAAATTTTTTTCGAATATGCTTGTAATAAAGAATAAACAAAAGTAAAAAATAAGAAAGAATATATATATTTCATAATTAGACAACTATTTTATCTATTTTATGCAATATACCTTGATTTTTTCTTTTTTTAATTACTTTAGTTTTACCTTTCTTTAAACTTTTCAATTTATTGATTAATTTATTTTATTCGAATTAATTTTATTCGAATTATTATTATTTAATTATTGGATTTCTTAATTCTTGAAAATTATTGTTAAAGAGAATTATATTATCCTGAAAAATTAAAATTATCTTAAATTAAACAAATGTATTTTGAAATAACAAACGAAATATTTGTAATAAAAAGTATTTACCTTGACTTATTCGCTGAAAAAATTATCAGTTCACAATTGCTGTTGTTATGTTCGTAATTCTCGTTAATATCTTCATAAACACTCTCATAAACTTCTTTGAATATTAAATTGTATACTTTAAACAGCTTTTACGGTGCATTTTCCTTCAGGTTTACACCTGTATGATAGCTATGGGAATATTCTGATGCTTCGTCAAATAATAAAGTTTTAACAATGTGGTTGCAGCGGGAGGATTAACTATCATGAAATAGTTGATGAATAAGATAATATTAAAAATTCATTGAAAACAATATTCCATGTATTGAATGAGGATTTTTAATTAATTGGTTAATTAATAATTGGCGGGTTTATTGTATTCTTTGATGATGATGCAATGTGAAAAGTTGTAAAACTTAATCACTCATGAATTAGATCTTATCTGTTAATCCTTTGTCATTATTGTCCAATAATTTTTAATTTATATTATTATTATTATTATATCATATTTATATTATTTTACGATGGAAAAATTATTCCTTCCGAAGGAATAAAAAAAGAAAAATACGAAGAGTATATGAAACATATCTGAAATAAAAATTTTTTTTATTCTTTGTATAATCATAATTATTTTTGGAGAAAAGTTTGAATATATTTTAATTAATCTACTTTCTCGATCTAATAATAATCGATTTCCTTTTTTTTTCATTTATTAAGATCATTCATCTTCATTAATTTTTAAATCTCTGCTTCACAAAAAATTTCAAAGAAAGTTAGACGTGCGAGGATCAAAAGCGATGTAACCGAAAGTAAAGTATATTAACTTATCTTAACCAATTTTTCATTTCACGTTCCTAAAGAAGTTCCACGATAAAAGTATAATTAATCCGGTTAACAAGCTAATTTTGTCAGAAAGAAAAAGCTTCGTAAAATTCTCGGTTTAATCGATTTACCTTTCAAATCTTTTTAGATTCGTTGATGGACGTGGTTCATAGCATGCAACGTGATATTTATGACAAAAAATATCTAACGACAAACATTGTTTTCAGTCTTTCCTTTATTATTCACATCGAAGCATAGATTTTAAATTGCAAATTTGAGAAGAAATATAAAACTAGGGGATCCATCCCTTTCTCTATTAATCCTTTGTGTTCCTTCTTCTTTTGAATAATTATATATTTATAAAAGAAATAAATAAATCCTTATGATCCTGTTTAATTATTAACACTCTATTTAAGGAGATAAGTAATTAGCATAATTAATTAATATGAAATCATTCAACATTTCAACATTTTTTTTTTACCTTCGAAACGAAATCCTGATTACTCCTCTGGCGTTTATTAATTAATATACGTCTCTGGAAAAATAATTTCTCGTATTCGGTGTCAGATTCCGTTCAATAACCGCGTTAGAAGTGAATTTCCTATCGAACTGGTTCCAGTTTTTGCCATTCCCTCGATCATAGCTCTTTCTTCCTGTTCCACCGGGTGGCGGCTGGTGGAGATGGGCTGACATAATTACCAATCTGCCGGAAAAGAACGGTTTATTATTAAGATTTCTATTACAAAAATAACGAGTTAATGGCAAGTTAAGCCTGATCGCGGGTAACGGTCCAATGATTCGTTGAGTAATTAGGAATGGCACACGTCCATTTTAACTTGAGACGCTCTTAATCCTTGCGAACATCAATGTAATTTATTTTCCTTTATTTGGATCTGGATTTTTTTTGATGTGGAATTTGAAATTAACAATATATAGTTTTATATTTGATTAAATAGTTTATGATTTCCTTTGTAATTTTTTTAAATCGTGTAATAATATGATTCAATTTCGTTTTATCATTTATTTAAATATGAAATTATGAAAATATGAAAAAGATGTAATATAATTTACAAGGATTGAATCATAATGAAAATATAAATATACAAAATTAATTTCATCCACGATTTATTTAGATATGGAATTAGAAATTAACATTAATGTGTTTCACTCTCGGTTAAATTATTTATATGTTTTTGGAAAATAGAAAAATTTATCCATTAAATAAGAATTATTCGATTTAACTCTTCTTTCGTATCTCTCTGATTTCTTCTTTTTGCAGGTGGATAACAATCGATCTATTTATTAAAAATAAAAAAAAGAATCATTAAGAGATGTTACGCGTTTTAATTGTACATTCGAGCTCCAAATTTTGATCATTTGGTTTCATTTGCTCATTGAATTTATCAGATTGGTGTCGATACAAACGAAAATTTTTAATTTTTCATTTTTCCGAATGAAGGAAGGGGAGAAGGGAAGGTGATTTATCGTTCCAGAGTTAATTACATCGAGGTCGTTGTGGCAAGAGAAGTGTTCGCTCGCTGGAAAAACGAAAGTTGCACGCTGGGTGGACATGTGATACGGTGAGGTGGTAATTAGCCATGTTTTTTTGTCCGACTATGAAGGTCGAAATTCTAACTTTCGTTAAATGGAACGTCCATAATGTTTTATCGAAAATGTTTTAAAAGAAAAAAAAAAAAAAAAAAATCGAACGGGAAAAAGAGAAAAGTCAAAAATTTTTTAAAAAAAAAAAAAAAAAAAAAAAGAAAAAAAAATATCGAACGTGAAATAGAGAAACGTCAAGAATTTTTCAAAATATTTTTCAAGATAGAATATATTATTATAAATATAAATATAAATATTCAGCAGCTTAATACTTTTCCACTGAATTATTATACTTTATATGCAAATCGTTATTTTCATTTTTCACTCTCGAAACATTTCTTCGACAATGTAATAAGAATATATGTAAAGAAAGTTTAATGATTATTCTATTTTATTAAAATAAAGAATTGTGAAACGTGAACTGTTCCCACTGATTTCTTTCTTTCGTTCATCGATATAAATTTATTTAACCATTTTTTAAATAATATCTACGATATTCGATGTATATATATGCCCGATTAATAAAATTAATAAAATATTCAGAGATAATAGATGATCGTATTCAATTGCAAAACAAGTTCGATATCGTCGTTCGAAATTAAATCTGTGCCAAATGTACTTTCCATACGAAGGAGCAAAACTTAACACGCATAATACCTTTGAATACTTTCCTGATCGAGCATTGCACACGCCACTAAGTATCGTCCTACATGCATTCAAAGAGATTCACTATCCGCTCCACGATATTCATTCAATTTTGTTCACCGTGTAATTTCGAATATGAAACGATTCGATTCGATGAAAATTAATTACGCATAATTATATTCTAGATGTTCAATCATCTGGATTAATATTTGGTCGAAAATTATCGAGGGTTTGCTGTTTGCCTCGATTTTTTTTTTTTTGGTCAGTGGTATTAATTTTTTAATTTCTCGGCTGGAATAATTCGCTTGAAAATTAAAATTTTATGATATCTTTTATAATTTAAAAAGAATGAACAATGGATAATCTGTTAAAAAGTTTAAAGAAATATTTCAAAAATATTTTTTTCTAATCGATTAACCGATTTAAGACACGTGGTATATTGAAACAATTCATTCACAACATCACGAATTTTTTTTTCGATTGACTACTTCTTTGTCATTATTTTTTATATAGCTAATTATTATATTACAAATTTTCCTAATCGATTATAAAATAATCAATTAGATAATCTCTCAATTACAATTTTCTTTTTCGAGGAATAAAAATTTTCAAATCCGAGTTTCCACTTAAAAATTTTATCTTCCAATAATTTTTAAAAATTTATTACGCGTAGAAATATATAAAAATCCTTCTATTTTTATTTTTCCTCTTTGAATTTATGAAACACCCGCTATATACACCCGCTGAACCGTCTAGCCATATCGCGAATTGTTTCGCGAATCGATCGTGTACATCAAAGTTTGGCGCCCGCGAACTTAGAAGTTTCTTTGGGAACTTTGTATCGTGGAGAGTGAGAAAGAGGAGTGGAGAAATAGGAAGAGTAGACTAGAGCGACATATGGAGAATGGAGATGGGAAAAAGGGGGGCACCGGTTATGACATAATTGCTTAAGAAAGTTTGGAATGCGAATACACAGCTAGAATGTAAGTAGTTCACGCGCATTTCGCTTAAGTCGTCCATGAAGGTAGTAGCTGAATGACTGCCATGCTTATATCCTGCTTATGAATACGTTATTCTATTCTAGATTATTCTTTTATCTTTTATTTCCATTCGAGAAACGAGATCGCATCATAATTACAGTGATATTTGACCCTTTACACTTCCATGATCCGTATAACGTGCTGAAAAGTCTCTCTCGTTTTCGTGACATATATTTAATCTTGTGATATTATACAGTTATACAATAGTATATACAGTAGATTAATACGATGAAAAAAGAGATAAATTTGTAAATTCTTTTACGAAAAGAGTAGAATAATTTTGTTTCATGAAAAAAAAGTATCATTCTTATTTCATTCATTAATCATTTTTACTTTGTTTTAATTAAATCAAATAACAATGTTTAAATAAATTTTTCGAGCATACTATATATTTGCATGTACGTAATGTTTATTTGTGAGTATATTAATTAAAATACTTTATTTTTTTCAGGAAAATTGGTTTATTCGTGGCCATGCTTGTTCCATTCAGTAAAAAAATGATTATTTTACCCGAACATAAAGATCGGAATGTTTTGTTCGGTTTGTTAACCGAAAAAGGATTTACGAAAATTTCAATTTTCGGCGCGGTTTGGATGGAAAAGGGACTGTGCTGCGCCAGCCAATCAGAAAGCTTCAAAGCGTACCTGCTGCGCGCGACGTTATTCGGTTGCCGAAAATCATCGTGGCAGGACGTGTGATACCGCTCGATATATATAACCTCAATTACGTAATAGATATTTCTGTTATTATTCTGTTAATTTATAGTTTAAACTGTTATTAGTTTTGTTTTTTTTCAATGTGTGTTCGTTTCATAAGAAAATATTATGATAGAATTAAGTGATATTGTGAATTTTCTTTGCTTGTTTTTGTTGATCGATTATTCGACCGTTGAAGTTGCCGGTATCTCACATTATTTATACTTTTAAGGTAGAGTTTGATTCGTATTATTATATCATTTTATTATATTTGATTTCAATTTCACGCATTTAATTTAAGTCTTTAATTTCATTATGTACAGATCATTGATCGATTTGAAGGAATGAATGTTATGCATTTTTGACGCTGCGATGATTAATGGCGAATGAGATGAGTCTTTATACAACATGGTTATGTTTGATTTGCAACAATGGCAGATGTAAGTACTTATTTATTGCATTTTTTTTCTCGTTGAAACAATCTTAATATACATTTTTAATGTATAATGGATAAAAATTGCTTTACATTATCGATAATATAATTATTATGTTATATAATATACATAATATATAATCGAATAATCGTTGCAAACTTTCGCTGGCCATTGTAATGCAATTGATTAATAGATCTTTGATTTCAATCGTTTGTAATGCAAGTATATAAGGAACAAATGCATTATACATTCTGTTTAGTTTCAATAGGAAAACATTATCGTTTGTTTCAAATTAGATATTAAAACAGTTTTTATAATTAACATTAGAATAGTTCTCTTTCACTTCTCTAATTATAGATAATTTCCTTTATGTCGTAACATCAATTATTATCGTTATTATGGAATATTTAATCAAAGTATAGTATTGTTTTCAAATATCTTCTAGTAATTTTTTATTTCTTAAATTTAGAATGCAATCAATAAATTTTTATTAATATGATGATTTTATGCTATAATTTACAATTTAAACATATATAATTTACAATATAAACATTTATCTAGCTCCGAAACTCTTGTGAATAATTCAAAATGAATTAATTCTTAATAACTCTGTATAATTAAAAACTTTATAATTTTTTATAGATAGAAAAAAATTTACTAACAGTTTATTGTTAAATATCTTTTCAATTTATTGAAAACCAAAGTTTCTAATCACTTGTAATTTTTTTTCTTATAAATATATAAAAATTCTGGATATTAAATTCAAAATTCAGTTAACTTCATCCTCATACCTGCATATTGCAATACAAATGTTTGACCGGACCCCAAAGTTCCGGCAAGAGCCCTTCAACCCCTAATTAGAATTCAGATTTTTTCAGCCTGCAAACAGTCGGCCTGAAAAATATTCGACTAACGGAGCAAAAAATGTTTGCTTAAAAAAATAAAAGCATAATAGAGAAATAAAAAATTACTTTAATCTCAGAAACCATGGCATCGCACAATTTTCCTTCTCCTAAAAGATTTATTATAAAGCTTAATCAACTGTATATTGGATGAATTTTAAAAATCTATTCATCCCCTCGATGATTTATTTTTTTATGTTTCTTCTCAATTTATTTCTGCATACAAAATCAGTTTCTTGATTATATACCTTTCCATTCATAAATATTAGGATAATAATATCTGTCTTATTTAAAAAAAGATTGATTTTATAGGGCACAAATTTAATTCCTTAAAATATGATGATACTTTTTTCTTTTTTTCAATCATTATTTGAAATATTTTTATAAAAATTAAATAATGTAAATAATATTGGATGAAGCACATAATCATAATATTTTTGTATCTCTTTTGAAACGACTTGTATATATCATTCATCACGATCGTCTACAATATCCTGGTTGCTCTCGAGATTTCGCTCAGATTGGAGAAAGATGTTGGGATATCTTCTATCAATTTACAACCTGTTTATCAAAACGATCAATTTCGCGATTTATTTTCTACACAGTGAACCCATATTAAGAAATTATTCATTATGGAGATCGTTTTGAATTATTATAAAAGTAATTTTCAAAAGAAAACCATATACTTACATACACTTTCACCAGAATGAAAAATTCCAAATTTTTCAATCTGGACATAACTTCTTAATATCTTTAATTCCTTGAAAAGAAAAATTTGCGTGCATATTTCATCAAAATCAATGCTCCTGATTCTTTCGAAACGCCTGTAAAAAAAAAAAAAAACTCCACAAAATTTTACTTCCATTTTTCAATCAATCAATCAATCAATCAATTTCCATTCCATTTCAAAACATTCGATAAAATCGTTTCCTTCTTTCCTCGGACTTTTTGCGCGGAAGAAAGGCGAAACATAACGAAAATCATAATCGATCAAAGCCACGCAATCCATGTTTTTCATGCTTTTTCTGCTTCGGCCGATTATTGCCGAGGATAATCGATGGCTCAGCCGTATTCGTGCGATATCGGGGATAAATTCGGCGAAATCGTCGTGAAAGCGACGTTCCGTTTCGATTAACTCTCTTCCTTTCAAGAGAAGAGGGAGATCAAGCGACCAGATGAATCGATTGTCCGCGGAAGAGACATGGATCGTGGCTCTCCTCGTGGATTCGATCTCAGCCAGAGAGAAGTGTGTTGCATCGTAATTTGTTACTTTGAATACTTTCTTATTCGCCTTGATGTTCTAGTGAATCTTGAAGGTAGAATATAGAGGTGTACAGGTTGATTCAGAAGTGAGTGGACATTTTTATACAACGAAATCCTCTATGAAATTATTATATTCATTTAAACACTAAAATTCATTTAAATTCTGAAATTTTTTACATCGGATGAACAATAATCGTGAATTCGATTCTTCTTCTTTCTCCTTTTCGAAAATCATTCTTCAATTTTCTTTTTTTTTTATTTATAAAAGAAAAATATTTTAGTTCTTTCCTTTGATTGGTAAATCACAGATTCGTTTCTTTGTCTTCTAATTCTAGAACAGTTAATTAGAAATAATTCAATATTCTTTTCGAAAATATATACAAGTTATACAAGTTTTATATTCCAGTAACAAAAATAAAAATTCCACTAGGGTAATAAATCCTGTGTATCATTTTGTTACACAATATCCTTACACAAATTTTATATTTTATTGCAACAACTTTGCTACAGTAATAAAAATAAATATCCCCATTAGACCAATAAAAAGTCTCAATATGCCGAAGAGATACTCTTGAAATACTCTTGTACCATACATTTTCAACAATTTCGCCGGATAAAATATCTTTCAGTTTAATAAAAGCGATCTATATTTGCATGAAACGACGATGAAGTAAAGATCCGTTTCGTTCCATATCCATTTCTGGAAATTCCTGCGTGCTCTTTCGACTCGTATCTCGAACGAATGAAACACATTCGAACAGCGATGTCACGTTACGCGATGGGAGGGGACGGGAACGAGGCGGAGGAGATGATGAGGAGCAATCCAGATGGATCTGGGAACAGATCAGAACAGATCAGCGGAAACGGGAAGAATTTCGCAAGGGTGTTTTAGTTTTAAAACGGAGGAAACGTGAGTTGCGATAGATTTATAGACGGAGTCGGGATTGTACTCGGTGTTTTCTCGATTATGCGCGGTTTGGTCGGGGGATTGTGCAAACATTGTGCAACGAGGATTCCTTAAAACGAACGTGGAATTTTTGTTGCGTTAGAGAAGGTTTCGCGATGATAGATTAATCGTACGTCCGTGCGAACCGCTTTTTGTGTATGTGATTTTGATTTATTTCGCTTTTTCAAATTAATCTATCTTTATGTAAATTGAAAAATAGTCGATTCTACGATAGTTGTATCGTAAATTTTAAAAAATTGGGGGAAATTGTGTGATGAAAGAACGAAAAGGATAATCGTTGCAAGCGGTAGAATATTTTATAGATTATTCTATAGTCGGAAAATATATTAAAGATTTCTCGAGATTTCGCGAGGAAAAGTACATTGTCGTTCGAGAGATATAAAGATATGTAGAGCATCAAGATAAAGCAAACAACTTTATCAAATTCTTTCTCTCATGCTTACTTTTAAACCGAGGCGTCTTCAAAACTTGAAAGAATGTCATGAAAAATACATGAAAGAAAGTATTCTCTATACCGTGTATCGTAATCTGGCGCAATATGCGTTCGAGATGCAAAGTTTATCCATCGAACAACTTAAAATTCATAAAGATTATCAGTAAACGCACGATACTTTTGTACGCATACTAACTATAACACACGTTCGCTTTTTTCTTTTTTTTTATAATTAATTAATCGTACACATTGCGAAGACCCGTGCCGGTAACCCACTTTTCTGGCCAATAAAACGATTTCTTTGGTCCACTTAGAAGGCAGGCGCGCGCTCGTGAAAGAAGAGCAACGTTGAAATAGGTACTTCGATAGTAAAATAAACAGTGAACGTGATATCGTACGATTATATCAATTTTATTTTATTATCCTAATTTGAGTAGAATTACAACGAAAAGTCAAAAATCGGAGTTTTAAAAAATTTTTATAACGTTAAAAAATAAGGAAAATTAAAGAATTATAAATTTTTTAATAAAACTTTTTCTTTCTTAATAATATTTAAATAATTTCGTGTATTTAAATATTTTTCATTATAAATTTATACATTTCGTTCATCTGAAAACCTGATACTTTTTTTTTTAAATCAAATTCATCAAGTTCTTAAAAATTAAAAATACAATTTCGCGAAAGAAAAAAAAAGAAAGAAAAAATTTTATACTTCCATTTCTCGTATCTATGTAAATGTTGTTATATATAAATCTATGTTTACTTACCTTGCTGATGATTTAGACAGAGTATAAAGAGATTTCAACGCGCGCACAAGCTCGGTCATAACGACTTCATATCGCAAACTTTTGCGATATCGATATTCAATCGATAATAAACGAAATTTTCATTTTTTATTTATTTATTTTTTTCTTTATTTTTGTCTCCTCGTTTCTGAATGCTCCTCCTTGTGATCTTCTGATAGAGTGCCGCGCTACAATGATCGGTGTATGCGATAACAGGAATTATAATAATTCATTCGTAATAATTAATAATGATAATAATAACTCGTGATAATTAATAATGGCGATAATAATGGTGAGAATATAATCATAATGATAATAATTCGAGTCGTTGACTGTAAAAGTGGCTCGATTGTATTGCTCCTCGAATTTCGAAGGCGTGTCAGAGTACGAATATAATACCCCGATTCTATTTAATTTGCAAATATATTATAATTAGCACTAAGCTTTTTCTAATAAGTCTCTCACTCTCATACTTCTTTATGCTCTTCCTTTCTTTCTTCCTTTCTTTTATTCTCACGCACACTCTCGTACTTGATCGTCGATAAATAATACATTTTCACGCTTTTTTTCATAATGCTTGCGATATCTTTTTTTTTTCTCTTTTTTCTATATTTATATAATATACTATGTATTTTTTTCTTGCCTTTTTTTTAAAT